GAGGGAGAGGGAGAGGGAGAGGGAGAGGAAGACCAAACCAAACCATATCAAACCAAACACAATGTCTTTGTGCTCTTATTCTAGCAAAAACCTATTTGTGGGGACAAATATAAAGATGAGATAACTGTTTCCTAAACATCGTCTATAAAGTACAATGCATTCTTCTAAGTTAACATCCTTCTAGTGATGTTATCATTAACCTTGGTGCAATCCAACTCCATTTCACTGAATTCAACATTACTCTTTAATTAAATGCCTAGGATCCTACTTAGGACAGTGTCAATGATTCGTGCTCATCTTTTTATTATTTTAAAATACTGAGCTTTGTTAGTCTTATGGTTAATAATCTGCTAAGGGTTTCGTTCAAAGTTCACAATGATTAGGAATTCATATTGCATTATAAATAAAACTATATCCATTTTAAACAAAAGCATTCTCAATGGTGGTTTTTAAAGTAGCAGGTATTTCCGATTCTGTTCTGACTAGAGCAAGAGAAGTAGTTGGATAAACAATAAAGTAATTAATTTTCAATGTTTTCCTCCTACTATTGAACATTAGATGTAACCTAGGTTAGGAACTGTCCCTGAAGTTGCTTCCCACCTGGTGAGGCCACCCATGCCGAGAAGCACAGAGCCCGATTTCTATACCAAGGCATTATTTGCCTTCACTAGTCTCCATCCCATGCTGCAATTGGGTCCTCAGACATGGCTTTCCTGGGACATAGTTATGTGTTCTCTGCCTTCTTGCCAGGGTGATTATTCTTTGGGGAAAGCTACTTCCAAAAGGAGTATAAGAGACTTGCTGGCTGCCAAAAGAGGGATTTTGAAAAGGGCTGTGGTGCTGGGAGAAATTATCCTGACCACATATGTTCCCAGAGATCTCACAGTACATAAGAAAGGAGGCTTTTGGACAGAAGAACTTTTCTCCTGTTGAAAAGTAACGGGAACTGGCCCTGTGGAAATACAGAGGACAGAGTCAGGATGGGAAACAGCATTCTTCTCCACAAGTCATAGAGAGGCCAATGCTTTTTCATGTGTAATCAAAAGGTAACTGAGACATTTTGGAATCTACAAATACCGAATCTGTTATGGTTGTGCTGGAGCTAAGTCAGTGAGTGAATAATAGTTCATTTAATGCAAAGTGGTATCTTCCAAGAGTTTCATGAAGACGGAAAGGCATGAGGAGGTCAAGCCACAGGCTACATTTGCTGAACACCTCCCTGGGGAGGACGATTCCCACTGTGTTCCCTTGACTCAGTCTTGCCAAGAGTCATATAGAACATAGACACTGGTTCTGTTTACTTTGTAGATGTGAAATCTGTAAAAACATCAAGTGAATTAACTGAAGTTATCTTTTATAATCAATTTGGACCAAAGGGTAAAGACTGGGACTCTTTATTTCAAACCTTGTGATATCTAGGCTATAATTCTTAGGCAACAATTCCCCTGGTCAGAAAAAGGACCTGTTTCCTCATGGCCCAAGCAAAACTGAGTAATGGGCTCTGTACTTTTAATGTCTGTTTCATCTATGTTGTGTGGCAAACCACTCTGAACCTTGGTAGCTTAAAGCAGTACCACAGTTTTTAAGCCTCCGCAATTTTTACGGACACCGAGTTAAGGAGGGCTCAACCAGAAAGTTCTGGCTCTGGCATTTCCTATCAGATTATAGCCAGACAGTGGCTGGAATTAGAAACTAGGAGATTAGGACAGCTGGCAGCTAGCCAGGCAGCTTCATTTGGAGCTTTGTCACAGCACACCAACCTCAGGTGAGAGGGTTTTTTTTTTTTTGTACCTGGGATTGAACTCAGGACCTTGCACTTGTGAAACAGGCACTGGTGCCACTGAGCTAAATCCTTGGCTCAAGAGGATTTCTTAACATGGCCTTCTAGAGCTCTGGCAGAAATATTTTTGCAAACTGACTAGCAGCTATGTCTGCGGATGGGAACCTCAGAGAATGCAACTTTGACTTCCTTGACTAGAATGATCTTTCACAGAAACCAGATAATGCCTCCCCCTCATTTGAATAAACTTTATTCTTTAAAGCAGTTTTAGGTTACAAAAAATGGAGCAAGAAGTACATAATATGTATATTAATATATAAAAAATATAATATAATTATATATCTATATCTATTTTTTGCCCCTACTATCTGGCCCTTCATCTCCTCTACTATCAAAATCCTGTACTGGAAAGGTTTGTTTTTTACCATCAATAAACCTATATTGACACATCATTCTCCATTCAAAATGGACAGTTTCTTTTAGGCTTTTTTGGTGCTGTACATTCTATGAGTTTTGACAATTACATAATGCCATGGATCCACCACTGCAGCAGAATGCAGAATAGTTTTACTGCTCTGTGCTGTTTATACTTCTCTTCCTCCCTCTGCCTAACCCCTATCAACCACTGTCTCCATAGTTAGAATCATATAAGACCTTAGGTATTTCAGATTGGTTTCTTTCACTTAGTAATATGCACTTAAATTTCTCCTACTTCTTTTCATGGCTTGAGAGTTCATTTATTTATAGTGCTGCATAATGTTAATATTCTATTGTTTAGATATGCCATAGTTTATTTATCCATTCACCTACTGAAAGGCACCTTGCTTGCCTTCATATTTTGACATTTATGAATAAAACTTCTATAAACATGAATGTGACATTTTATTCCCTTGGCACTGGTGATCGAACTAGGGACCTTGTGCTTGTGGTGGTACCACTGAGCTAAATCCTGGACCCCCATGTGCCAGTTTTTATGTGAACATATGTTTCATTAATTTGGGTAAATACTAAAAAATACAATTGTTCAGTCATGTGGTAAAAATATATTTAATTTTGTTAGAAACTCCCAAGTTGGCTTTTGTAGTGACCATGCTATTTTATTTTTTTATTTTTATTTTTATTTAGTTTATTGGTACATTTTAGGTATATAGTACAGTTACATTCATTATTGGGATCCTGTACCTTTACATGACAGGTCTTGGTTCTCATTTTTTCCCCTTGTCCCTGCCCTCCCTTCACCCCCTTCTCCCCTCCCCATTTACAAACACTTTATTTACAGTTTTTAATTTTCTCATTTTTTTTCTTTTCCCTTATTTCCTTTCCCCTACCTTTCCCACCTTCCCTACAACTTTAGCCCTTTTCTTCCTATTTCATATGGTCAATTATCTCATTAGGATCTTATGTACTATTATAGTTTTCCACACCAGAGAAAGTATTTAGTATTTACACATGTGTGATTATTTCACTTAGGAGTATATCCTCAATATGCATCCATTTTCCTATGAATGAATCTAATTTCTCATTCTTTATGTCCATGCTATTTCATATTGCCATCAGCAATAAATTTGGATTTCTGCTGTTCCACATCCTTGCCACCAGTTGGTATTGTAACTGTTATGGGTATTGGCCATAAATATGTTTACAGCATTACATCTCCTTGTTGTTTTAATTTGCAATTCCTTAATGACATAATGTGAATATATATCTGACATTTCTGTATCTTTATATATTTAGTGAGATCACTGTATCTTTTGGCAATTAAGATTACTCATTAGAAAATATCTGTATTAATTATAGACTTAGTTACTGTCATAGAGAGACATGGAAATATTGTGGTTCAAATGGAATAGAATTTCATATTTCCCTCATGTAAAAATCCTGAATTAAGAAGCAATTTATAGCATGTAGGTGGTTCTGGGGCACAAAATAATTCAGGGACTTGAGTTTCTTCTATCTTTTTGCTACATCATTCTTCTGGGTATTGTCATCTTTGAAATTGCCTAATTTTATGTTATTTATTTAAATCTAAGACAAAAGAAAGAGAGAGAATAGATAGCAAGGGCTATCAGTAAGTTCCTTTTTAAAAGATTTGACCAAGAATTTGCACACTTTTATTCATACTTCCTTTGATAGAATGTAGTCATTTGTTTCTTCCTAGATACAAAGAAGCCTGGAAAATGTAGTTCCCAGCTCGACGGTGATGTGCTTAGTTAAAACATAAGAGTTATATTTATAAATAGAAGAAGTGATAGTATCAGTGGACAACAAGTAGTCTGTCATAAAAAATATCACAGGTTTAGCCAGGTGTAGTCATGCATGCTTGTAGTTAATCCAAGATGCTTAGGAGGCTGAGGCAGAAAGCTCTCAAGTTTAAGGCCAGTTTGAGTTACTTAGCAAGATCTGGTCTCAAAACAAACAAATGAACAGGTGGAGGTGGGGGGTGGAGATATAGTTCAGAGTTCAGTATCCAGTGCTAAATAAAAACCACAGATTTACTAATTCTACCTAGAATGTTTTTTTGCTGAAGTTAGTATGCGTTCCTTGCTCTCATTTTTCTCATCTTAGCCACTACAACCACATATGATGTAGGTATCACTGGAGAATAATGAGGCCATAGAAGGGGGTCTGCCTGGCTGAGGGGACAGGAAAGACGTATCTGGACAGCGTCCAAGCTCCACATTCATACGGCAACTTTTCTTTCTTTGAGATATTTTTATGGGAGCGCTTTGTTACTGGTAGTTTTGAATAAAAAATAAATTCACTAACATATTTATCGAGCACCTAACGTATTCAAAGAATTTTCTTGGGAGGTCTGAGAGAATAAAAGAGTGTGAGATGATTCTTACCTTCAAGAAGCACAGAGCCAATGCGGGTAGATGCAACTGTGAAAAGTTAAAGAGCAGCGAGATCATCAAGTGATAATTCAACATCGAATTACCCATTATGTGCTCTGCAGCACAAGAAGCTTTATGTCATTGAAGACTTATCTGAGTTATCTATTAGGTGGGCTGTCTCATGCAGCAGAAGCAGAGCCAAAGCAATGGTACTAAATAGTAAGGGGTTCTAAATGCATGTAGAGACTGATAACCCCACTCAATCGAAACCACCTACCTTCTCACATCCATCCATGATCAAATCATTCAGCAGAGTTTAACAAGAATCTCCTATGTACTGGGCACTGCTTGGCATCAGGAACACACGAGTGTACACACATATATTTTTATTAAACTAATATTCCAACAAATGCTCTCCATTGGCCTATGAAAGAATTCTATAGAGAGAAGTACAATAGAGTCCAAGGATGCTGGAGGCTCAAGTCTTCTTAGAAAGTTTCTTGAAGAAGTGAATCTCGTCTATCATGGAAGGATGGATAAAATCCAGAAAAGAGGCCTTAAGAGCAAAAGTGGGAAAATGAGAGATTCTTTCTAGTAGTAGCTCATTATTCCAGTTGGCTAGACTGAAAGGTAATGGAGGAATAAAATAAGAGGAAGAAGTTCTAGGATCAGTTTATAAAGGACCTCGAATACCCAATCAAGGAACATTCTGAATATGCGGCCTATTGTGGAAAGCAACAGGGTGAGCTTGGTTGCAGATGTTTTATTTTTATTTTTAACTTTTATTAATTTTATTGGTTCAATTTAGATATACATAATCATGACATTCATTGTAAGGAATTTTTATTGGTGCATGATGCATCTTGATGCCTTTTTCCCCTATTCCCCTCTCCTCCCTTCAACCCTTCTTCCCCTCTTTATTTACAAAAGTTTTATTTCCATTTTTTCCTTATTTTCTCATTTTTTCTCTTCCCTTCTTTTCTAGCTCCCACCTCTGTAGATCCCTTTCCTTCTGAATAATTTCTTCCCCTTTCACAATATCTATTATACATTTTGGTCCTTATTTATACTTTCAGTCTCTCAACACCACAGAGATAATGTGATATTTACACATGTGTGTCTGATTTATTTCACTTAAAAGTCTCAATGTGCATCCATTTAATTATAAATGTCTTAAATTTAACCTTCTTTATGGCTGAGTAATACTCCACTGTATTTTTTAAAAACCCACATTTTTCATCCATTCATCGGTCAATGGGCATATGGGCTGTTTCCAAGATTTAGCTATTAGAAACTATGACACTATAAAGTGGGTGCACATATGTCACTGTGTTGTGATGCTTTTCATTCTTTGGGGAAGATATCCAGAAGGAGAATACGTAGGTCAAATGGGACCTCTAATCCTAGCTTTTGAGGAATCTCCATACTGTTTTCCATAGTGGTTGCACCAGTCTACACTCCCACCGACAGTGGAGAAGGGTTCCTCTTTCCTCACAACCCTGCCAGCATGTGTTGGCTGATTTCTTGATAATAGCCATTAATTCTGGGGTGAAACGGAATCTCAACACTGTTTTAATTTGTATCTCCTGAAGGACCAGTGATGTTGAACTTTTTTATGTATTTATTTGCTACTTGTTCTTCTTCATAGGAGGCATGTCTATTCAGTTCAGATGCCCATTTTTGGACTGAGTCATTAGATTTTTGGGGTGTCTGATTTTTAAAAAATTCTTTGTGTGTTGTAGATATTAGTCTCTGTCTGAAGAGCAACTGGTAAAACTTTTGCCCACACTGTGGGTTGTTTCTTCACTAGGTTGCTGATTTCCTTTGCTGTGCAAAGGCTTTTTAGTAGGATAAGATCCCAGTTATTGATTCTTTGTAATATTTTCCATGTGATTGGGGTTTTGTTCATGAGGTCTTTGCCTGCACCTATGTTTACAAGAGTTCTACCTAGTCTCTCTTACAGCAGATTTAATGTTTCTATTTTAATATTTAGATCTTTGATCCATTTTGATTTCAGTTTAGTTCATGTTGAGAGACGAGGGTGTAGTTTTAGTCTTTGGCCTGTAAAAAGCCAGTTTTTCCAGCACCTCTTGTTAACGGGCTATCTTTCTTCTAGTGGGCATGCTTGGCCGCTTTGTCAAAGGTAAAGTTGAGTGTGTTTGGGGTTGTTTTTGCATCTTCTAGTCTGTCCCATTGATTCTTAGGTCTTTTTTCTTTGTCAGTATCATGCTGTTTTTAATCACAGTAACTCTGTAGTATAATTTCAAGTCAGGGATTGTGATGCCCACCCACTGCCTTGCCTTTGTTGCCCAGAATTTTGTTATTATAGATTTCTTCTGATTTCAAATAAATTTTAGGATTGTTTTCTCAAGTTTGGTGAGATAAGCTATTGGTATTTTGATTGGGATTGCATTAAATCTGTATAACAATTTTGAATGTATGGTCATTTTCACTGTGTTGATTCTTCATATCCAAGAGCAGGGGATAGGTTCTCATTTTCTTTTTTTTTTTTTTGGTACCGGGGATTGAACTCGGGTCCTTGTGCTTGCAAGGCAGGCCACCGAACTACTGAGCTAAACCCCCGGCCCTCTGACACTCTGTTTGATCTTTTTCAGAGTAATGTAGCTTTCAATGTAAAGATCCTTTACTTCTTTTGTTAGACTGATTCCTAAGTATTTCACTTTTTTATATTATGGTGAAAGGTGTTGTTTTCTTAATTCTTTCTCTGTGAGTTTGTTATTTGTACAGGAATGCTATTGATTTTTGAGTGTTGACTTTGTATTCAGCTATGCTACTGAATTTAGTTATTAAATCTAGAAGTCTTTTGGTGGAGTTTTTGGGGTCATCGATGTAGAAAATCACATCATCTGCAAGATGATAGCTTAACTTCTTTTTTTATTTTTATTCCTTTTATTTCTTTCTCTTGTCTGATTGCTCTGGCTATTGAATAGGGATGGTGATAATGGGCATCCTTGTCTTGTTCCTGATTTTAGGAGTGGAAGCTTTCAGTTTTTGACCATTTAGTGTGATGTTGGCTGTTGGTTTTTCATAGATGGCTTTTATCAGATTTAGATAAAGACCATCTATTCCAATTTTATGTAGGTTATTTATTTTTTTCGTGAATGATGTTGGGACTGTCAAATGCTTTTTCTGCATCTATTGAGATTTAAGATGACCGTGTGATTTTTGTCTTTGGCTCTATTGATATCGTGTATTACATCATCACCATCATCATCATCACCACCTCCACCATCATCATCACCATCATCATCATCACCACCTCCACCATCATCATCGTCATCATCATCATTATTTTGGTACCAGGGCTCAAATGCTCAAACTCAGGACCTTGTGCTTGTGAGGCAGATAAAAAAAAAAAAAAAAAAAAAAAAAATCCCTGGCCCTGCTGTATTACATTATTGATTGGCAAATGTTGAATAGTCCCTGTACCCCTGGGATGAATCCTACTTGGTCATGGTGTAAAATCGTCTTGATGACTTCCTGTATTCTGTTTGCCAGTATCTTATTGAGGACTTTTGTATCTATGTTCATTAAGGAGATTGGCCTGCAACTTTCTTTTTTGGTTGGGTCGTTCTCTGGTTTTGGTGTCAGGGCAATGCTTGCTTCCAGGAATGATTTTGGGAGTATTGCCTCCCTTTCTATTTCACTAAAGAGCTTGAGGAGAATTGGCATTGCATTAGATCTTGTCTAAATTTCTTGTAGAATTCAGCAGTGAAGTCATCCGAACCTTGGTTTTGTTTTGTTTTAAAATTTTAATCACATTTTCAATTTCATTGACTGATATTGGGTTATTTAGAATTTTAATATCTTCTTGATTCAGTATTATAATTCATATTTATCTAGGATACTGTCCCTTTTTTTCTGTGTTTTCAATCTGATTATAGTATAGGTTCTTGAAGTAGGCATTGATGATCTTCTGGATTTCTATAGGTTTTGTTGTGATTTCACCCTTTTTATTCCTAATTTCATGAATTTGAGTCTTTTCTTTCTTTTTTGATAAGGTTGTCTAAGGGTTTATCAATGTTATTTAATCTTTCAAAGAACCAACTCTTTAATTCATTGACACTTTGTATTGTTTTTAGTCTCAATTGTATTAATTTTGGTTGCAGATGTTTTTAAATAACACACTACACCTAGACAGTGAAGGAACACCACTTAGCAACGTTAGAATTAAATGAGAGTTGCTAATCACAGTTCTTTTCTGCAACCTGGGAGATCTAAAAACAGTTCCACTTTCAAGATCTATATTTAACTAGCTAAGCGGTGTTTTACAGACTTTGGCCTTTGAGTGTTTGATTGGGTTTTGTTTATTCTGACTGATGAACCTGGTCTCACACAGCTTTCTTGGGGCTTCCTGAAGACAGAAGTCTTCAGAAGGTAAGGAACCGTAGGTCACTGATGCCTCTGCAGGCCTGTCCCTACCTCAGATACATGGGGGCTGCTCTACCATTACCAGTTTTGGGAATAAAGCACTGCGAAGATAGACTCAAGCCTTGTACATTGTGTTTTCATGGCTGAAGATAGTTATCTCTGTGTCATTAGGAGCTATTTCTTTCACTGAAGATCAAAACAAACTCAAAAGTACTTGCTTAGCCACAGTAATTCTACTTTTGGCTACATTAAGAATAACGAGAAATTTAATAGAGGAACAGAGTATCTTGGATCCTACATATCTAGCAGCCTATCATAGGCCAATGAAGAGCATTTGTTGAAATGTTAGTTTCCTAAAAATATACAATGTGTGTACATTAGTGTGTTCCTGATGTCAAGCACAGTGCCTCATACACAGAAGATTCTTACTAAACTATGTTGAATGATGTGAATTAAGTAATCTATATAAAGTAGTTGTGAAACAAATATCAGTAAAAATTATCAATATACTTCAGTTTATAATGTAGTCATTTGCTTATTTTTATTTTAAAAGACTCAGAACTTTTGGATGGGAGAGAAGAGGGAAGAAGACAGCATAAAGAAAAATTAAAAATCATAGCCAATTTCATAATCACTGGCAACATTTAGGCATATTT